CACACAGAACTGCGCAAGCGTAAACTGAAGGTAAAATGGAAGAATGATGCCTTCATGGACTGCCAGCAACATCCGGTAGAATGCGTTCCACACCTATTTTTAGAGATGGAAGAAGTATTTGGATAACTTGCCTAAAATAGAAGAATAAAAGTAACAATGCGACAGTGTAGAATAGTTATATGGTAGAGAGTAAAAGTAATAATTAATGGAATCATGAGGGTGCATAACAAATTATCGATCTGTAAAAGAACAAGAAATCAAATGTGCAATAAATAAATACACAGAAAAGTATTTACAAAGACATTTGAAAAAACAATTGAAAAGGCTTATTATTATTATTATTATTATTATTATTATTATATATCCCCTAATCATTGTGTTTTCCCCTAATCATGTATATATCCAAATTGTAATTATTGTTGCATTATTGTGTCCATCAATTTACAGTTGCAATCGGTAGAGGTGGGTCTCAGTTTGATTACTATATTAACTGCTGTGAATCTATAACAACACACCATCATTTACTATTTGATTTATATTTTGTATTTATTATCTAAATTGGCAAAGTAACCAAATGACAGAAGTGGTGTGAAAAGTAGGACAGTTCACGTTGAGATGCATTGGAGTCTAAGTAGTCCCTGAACGCAGCTTAAGTTATCGCGTGATTTCAGCGTTAAACGAGAGGTTATGACGTTAACACGCGGAAACTGTTTACGTTAGCGGCTAGTGGTTGTCGATAATTTAGCCACGGTTTGTCCGTTTTAGCGTTATTAATCGACAATTCGCGGGTGTTTTATGGTTAGTATTGCTGCTCAGAATGGGGAAAGCGGATTTTCTCTCCCCGAAGGCGATAGGCAACCGGATAAAATCCAAAGGTCTCCAAAAGTTGAGATGGTATTGCCAGATGTGTCAGAAACAATGCCGAGATGAGGTAAAACACCGTGCTTTTAGTGTAATATTTAGAAGTTATTTCAACATATTCAACCTATTTTGTATTTCATTCGTTCCAGAATGGCTTCAAATGCCACTGCATGTCCGAGTCCCACCAGAGGCAGCTTCTGCTGGCCTCAGAAGACCCAAACAAATTCATGGACTACTTCTCCGAGTAAGTTCTTTTGAATGTAAACTATGTAGCATGTTAATGTTGTTCTTCATATGGTTGGAGTTAATTCCTGCTTCCTCTCTTCGCAGTGAGTTCAAAAACGAATTCCTGGAGCTGTTAAGGAGACGTTTTGGTGAGTCCTGAATCCACTCAGACTATCCAGAAGTTTGGAGCTTTTTACTGTAAGAAAACTGATCACATTTGTTCTGTTTTAGGGACCAAGCGAGTGCACAACAACATCATCTACAATGAATACATCAACGACAGAGAGCACGTCCACATGAACTCCACACAGTGGGAGACTCTCACTGACTTCACCAAGTGGCTGGGCAGAGAAGGTAAACTCTCCTGAAATGTGTTTCAACATGCACAGACACAAATCACAAACATGTATGAAGGAAACGTTCCCTTTAAGACAAAAATATCTACAACAAGTTCCATAATGAGCAGAACGAACTGACAGTGGAATAACTACTTACTTTTATGTTTGCACCACAATACCAAATCAAATTCCTCATATGTGTCAACCTACCTGGTGATAAACCTGTTTCTGATTCTGAACTACAGATCTGTAACGTTTTGTGCTACTATTTTGCATCGTTCAACACTATTTTGATGTCAAAATCTGTCCATAGACCGAAATGTAAACACGCGGCACAAGTATTCAAAACCACCATTGTGATAGTTCCCGCTTCAGTAGTCTTTTTTTTCAAGATAACACACTAACAGACTCAAAATGTCAAAACAATTATAAAAATATGTAAGCAAATGATCAATGAACCTATTAATAAAGAACATTAGGTGCAATCTTGGCTCATAATATAACTACATAACAAGGCGGTTTACCAAATGACCATAAAAACAACATGTGAATTATGTAACCGTGTGTATTAACAAAACTTTCAAAATGATCTGTCTTGTTAAACAAATCATGGAAATTATTTTGGTACCAATTTCTTACCAAATACCTTTTGGACATGAGTCACAATACAGGTACAAGAACTGCTACATTAAAAGGGGCCTCTTTTAAATGTGTAATAATTAGTTGATGATGTTACTGCTAGGTTTCTGCAAGGTGGACGAGACTCCCAAAGGCTGGTACATCCAGTACATCGACCGCGACCCGGAGACCATCCGCCGACAAGAGGAGCAGGCGAGGAAGAAAAGCAGGACCTGGACGACGAAGAGAGGAGCGCCAAGTTCATCGAGGAGCAGGTCCGCAGAGGCCGGGGCGACAAGGAGGAAGAGGTGAGGACCAGAGAGGACGCACTCAGCTTCACACAGGCTCAATTCTGCTTTATGAAGATCATTAGAGTTGAGATTTCACATTTGTGTTCCTGTATTCTAATATTTAGGAAACCCCAGTTTTCACAGAGCTGAAACGTGAGAGTGAAGAAGAAAAAGGTTAGTTTTATTTTTGTGATCAAATGTCGTTAATGCATTTCTTGTCACTCACCCTTACGTTTTTTCTGCAGTTGCTTTCAACCTGGGCGCCTCCTCATCTGTAGCCGGTCCTTCTAAATCAAGGTAAAGATATCTTTGCATGTTGCTTCATCTGCTGCCTTTTCTTTTTACGTAATCACGGTATAATGAAAGAAATGATACTATTATTTAATATATATATTTTTTTTATCTTCTACTGTAAATAACTAATTTATTTTGTATTTTCTTAAATAGTTAAGTTAGATTTTAAAATACACGTATTGTGTCCCCTTGTTTTATTTGTTATCCTTTTTAAAAAGGCTTATTACTTTGTATTAATATTTGTGTTTATTCCTAACACAGGTCTCTACTTAATAATTATTAGGAAAATAGATAATTACCTATGTAAATAAATATGTCCTTAAAATGTCCTTAAATCTGCATTAAATCCATGTTCATTGTATGCCCTGAAAGAAAATGCTTCTCAATTATCAAGAAAGCCTTATTTGATAATATTATCTGAAACTGTTTGTGTCTCCTTTTTAGTTCTGCTCTGGGTGCGAGTGCCCTCAAAGCAGCCGCATCATCTTCAACCAAGAGAAAAGACACGAGTGCAGACACCCGAGGGGAGAAGAAGAAGAAATCTGCTCTGGAGGAGATTATGGAGGTAGAGGGGATGATCTACTGGTATGTTCTACTAATGTGTCTGTGTTTACATTGAGACGTTATATACATGCTGTTTGTTCAGATGGAGGAGAAGAAGAAGAAGAAGCAGTCGGTCAAATTGGATTTCTGGCTGCAGCCGAACATCGTGGTCAAAGTCGTCACAAAGAGACTTGGAGAGAAGTACCACAAGAAGAAGGCGATCATCATGGTAAAAAAACGCTTTGCATTTATCTTTGTGAGAGTATGTTTATGTGCATAGGGATCAGGTTTATTATGTTTACCTAAAAATGTAACTAAAAGAAGAACAAGCAGGAATCATATTGACCTAAATTCAACTTAACAAAGACTTAAAGTGAAACGAAATTGCCTGGTAAAAAAAAATGATAAAAATTAAGATTCAGTTTCAGCTTTTTTTGGAAATGGCATGAATTTCTGTCAATGCTTTGACATCGAAACATAGAAATTGACTGCCTCAATAGCTTCACAATAAAAAGAAAATCCATGTTTTTTGTAGTTTACATGCAGTCAAGTCTCTTGAATTGAATAACAAGAACATGGATTACATATACATAGCAAAACTTACTTCTGAGACATTATACATAGCCATCAAAAACAAACTAGAATGAAATATTAAAGCCAAAAAATAAATAAAACCTCAATATGGAGACCCTTGTTTCTAAAAGCTGTGGATCCTTTTTAATTGTAGGAGGTACGAGAGAAATATGGAGCCGTTGTTAAGATGATCGACTCCGGAGACAAACTGAAATTGGACCAGAATCACGTGGAGACGGTCATACCTGCACCAGGTAAACATCCAAAGCTCTTTAACACTTATACAGTAAAGTATAGTAATCTGATGGATGGGGGCAGCATCATGTCTGTACCTCAGCTGTACTTTCTATCCTCCTCAGCCTCTTGTTGTGACTCTCCCTGCAGGTAAACAGGTTCTGATCCTGAACGGGCCGCACAGAGAGAGGGAGGCTCTGCTGGAGGGGATCGACGAGAAGAACTTCAGCGCCACGCTCACAATCGCATCTGTACGTATTTATAGTACTGTACATCTCACATGTTAGTCATTGTTATCTACTGCACATCTGTAAGGTAAATATAAAATAGTTCTGGATATAAGATAAGATAGGATATCCAACAGTTGCCTCTTAAAACTCAAGAAAAACATAAGCAGCCTATACCAAATTATGAAAAGTATCTAATTTTCCTCTAGGGTTAACTCACCATGCAGATAGTTTTTTGTTTTATTTCCCCCGGTTTGAATGCAAAGGTCTTCTGTATTTCTGACTGGTTTGTGGTCCTTAAGCACAACATTATTATTCAAAATATTCCAAAATAATGTTAAAATATCACAATGACTGGTGGTTGGACTAAATATATGCTGTTATCACACATTAGACAAAAAAAAGATTCCAGGTATAATTCCCATGTGATAATACACTTAAAAATATGTTTTAAGCATCATATTAATCTAAAAACTGAATGTCACTGTAAAAAATCTTTACATTTCAAAAGCTTTTACTGCTTTCCTTAGCTGCACTCACTTTTATGTAGCATTTTAAACGTGTTGTATCCAGTACCTGTGATTGAAGTTTGATCTTCTCGTCCTCAGGGTCTTCAGAAGGGGAAGACGGTGAGCGTCGCCTACGAGGATTTCTCTAAACTGGCCTGAACCAACAACCTGTCTGCTCTAACCTCAGGGACTCTACTTAGTCAAAGTTATTTCCCCAACATCCACCTGTATATACACACACACACTCACACTCACACTCACACATCATCACAGAGAAACTCAGAGCAATGTGTTCAATTTGTTTTTTATTTTGTATCGGATGTTCAAGTTGATCTTAGCATTGCAAATGTACATTTTGTCCAAATAAATTGAACAAAAAGTGACTTTATGGTGTTCTTTTTTATAATTAGGAATTAAACATTTATAATAGGATTGGGGGATATAATGGGAAATCAGTACAATGGTAGAAATGTGTCGACCAATAGAGATCCTGCAATTATATATCCATGATTTGGGCAGAAATGGAGGAGAATGACATTTTAAATAAGGTGGACAAAGAATTCTGGTTGCACAGTAATTTGTGAGCTTTTTTTAAATGAATTGTAAGTAAAAACCTGCAGGAAAAGTATTTTTTTCTTTGGTATACTCCTTTTATTAATTCACTGAATTAACACAGACTGGCATTCATTTGCTTCCGTTAACCTTAAAACCTGTTACACCTCAAATGATTGTCCTCAGGAACCTTAAAGCTTTCATTTTGAAAATAATGTATTTGTCTTTTAACTTGTGTTGTCTTCTATGATGTATATAAAAGAAAATAATCAAATGTGATGCAGTGTATTAATTGAATTTACAGAACAATTACTGAATATAAAATGCTTTATAGACTTTGGCCATATCAACCATCTTATAATTACAAAAAGAAAAATCAGGAAATATAGATTCATAAAAACCACAATGGGGAAAAGGATCGTCTTCCCTTTCTATTTACTCCTGTTTTCACTTTTTCTAAATGGGTGTTAATAGCAGTGTGGAAAGATCTGGAAAAGATGACTTGTTTTGACTGACAAATCTCTAATATTATGAATAATATTGCAATTGCAACATTATTCATAATATTACAGAGATTTGTCATGTTCTAATTATGATTCTTAATATTGAAACATATTAAATGATTTTGGTGTGATATCTGTACCAAACAAATATGTTTTATAAATCTGTAGAACACATATTTAGCCTTTAACAAATACTGTGCTACATGTGATTTTAATATTGCACTAGTCCACATTTTGATATGGATAACATTTGGATTAATAGTGCAGCCCTATAGATGAGCATAGTACTTGAACGTGTCTCTGGCAGCTCAGAGCGCCTGCAGGAAGCTGTTGAGATGTGGGACGATGTAGTCGGTGTAGTGGCCGTCGATGAAGCCCTTCCCACTGTTGTGAATGAACCAGCAGTAGATGCTTGATCCGAGCCTCTTATCGCGCCTGTAGTCCTGCTGCCAGCCCCTAACGTACACACAAGATTTATGGTTTGAATATGAAGTGTGTTCTTTCAGAAATCACTTCATCTGCGTTAAGACCTACCTGGTGACGAGCAGCGTGTTGCCCTTCACCTCCATCGTGGCCTCCTTCTTCAGAGGGTCCATTCCCTCGTGCATGTCGTGCACGCTCACCTCAGGCTCTCTGGAAAACTGCCCTGAGAGATCACACACACTTTCAGCTTCAAATCTACTATGTCTCTTAGCAAAATGCATGACCTGATTACCAAAAGGGATTGACAAAATGTATTGTGAGCATGTTTCATGAAGGAACTATTTTCTTTTTTATTGAACTAAGTGTATCTGCCTGGGGGTGAGAGGCTTGTGCTGGCCCTTCGGTTGGTGCAGTTTTGTAAAAGGAAAAATAATAGAGAAGGCAGACAACAATCATGATCGATAAATAGCACTACAGGTAAGAGAAACATTTATTTTTTGTCCCTTGAAGTTGGCTATTTAGAGTATTGTTATGATTCTTAAAAGTGTAATACAGATTAATACTAATTAAGTTGCTGCTATCATTGCTTTAGGGTAATGCGCCTTAAGATGCAGTGACACAAGTGGCTAGAGGCTGGCTTCATAGAACACATTTATGTTGGTTAAAAAATGTTTTAAACTAAAAAAGTCAGTCAACTGTTAGCTTTTACCTCTAGAGCTCAATAACTTGTTCTAATGTGCGTTTTGATTGCAAAAAGTCAGTGTCTGTTAAGTAGATATATATGTTAATCCACATTTGTATTAAATAGGTTCAGTAAATGAAATATATACCCTCCCTTTAGAAACCTATAGGTGTCTTAGGCCTCAGATCTGATTCACAGATATCTCAGTAACACCCTGTGGTTGTATCGCTGCTTGAAAGTATTTCACACCACGCACAGAGACCTACCTATGAGTCCGTGCACCAGAGGGGAGTACTGGTTATCGTTGGGAATGTAAACACCGAGGAAGTCGACACCGACTGGATTTTTCGTCCACACACGGTGAAGTAACACCATCACATGGATATTATTATTTATCGTGATGGACACATGAGAGTTCTTCACAATGGAGATCCTCACACTGAAACACAGAAACATGACAACATGAGATACAAATCAACCTGTGTGAGTTAGACGCTGTAATTAAAGATGACATGTGATAAGGTTACCCATCCTGTGAGATTTTAGCCGTGGCCCCCCAGGTGAAGGAGTGGTTTCTCTGGCCGTCGGTCATGGAGATGCTGTCGGTGCCGACGGACACGCTCACTCCATCGGGCTGGTAGTACACTGAGATGGTGCCGAAGTATGTGCTCAGTTTGCCTTTGTGCGCCTGCTTAGAGCCGACCAACTGACCGTTCACCACCAAACCTAAAAGAAGTGGGGTTATACTTTATTTGTAATACTCCAGTGACAAATGTGTTACAAGTAAAGCAGAGAAAAGTAGATATTCATTGTCAGAGTAAGTTAAAAGGTGCAACAGATGGTCAGGTGACGAAATATAACAGTCATGTGTGTGTCTGTTATATATAAAGCTACAGTCAGGAGAGTGTTAGCTTAGCATAAAAACTGGGAACGGGGAAAAAGATGTCTCCTTCCAGAAGTTGGGAAAACCCCCTAAGACCAGTTGTCGATCAAGTTTCATTTAATTTAGTTTAAATTGTATTTGAATCTTATTTTTGAAGCAGGCAGTGTGGTACCTGTTCCAGTGTCAGTCACCAGGTTGAGGATGTGTCCGGGGGCAGAGTCGATATTGAAGCAGACGTCCATGTTGCTGCTAGGCAGGTGGACGATGAAGTGAGGGTCGTTATCCACTGCAGGAGAAACACTGAGCGCGTCACACATTCACATTCAACACTGCAGCTGGAAGAGTGCCTATGGAGGTCATCATGAGTGTGTGTGTGTGTGTGTGTGTGTGTTGCCTATTTAACACTAATTTGGTGTCAACCACTACAAGCATCACCCACTGATGGAAGATGGTAGAACCACCCTTTAAGGACAATACAATTGAATTTCAGACTTGATTTTAAAACAATAAATCTAATAAAGTTATTTATTTATATGGTAGATCAAAGAGTGTCTGGTTTGTGTTATTCCTCATGGCTAATGAGTCCCATACTGGTTGTTTTAAGGCCTTGTTTAAAGGAAGACCTTGCAAGGGCGTGGAATAAAGCTTTCCAAAAACATGTGGGAAAAATAAATCACTGTAGGAAAAAGAGCTGGAAAGAGAAAGGTGTAAACGGTAAAGGTATATCTTTGTGTTATGAAAATACATTGCAGTCACACACAATTAATGCTAGAGTATAAGACTGGCATTTTCAAAACAGTTCAGACACTCTTGATAACCTCTTTACACAACCTTCTTCAAAACATACGGACCTGGACATCTCCTAAGTGAATGTACATGCCTGTGTGTGTGTGTGTGTGTGTGTGTGTGTGTGTGTGTGTGTGCGTGTGTGTGTGTGTGTTACCTAAGTTGACCTTTGGAGGCAGGGCGTACTCCTCGCTGCCCTTGACAGCCTGGCTGGGGGGGGCGTTAGTGGTCATCTGGACCCAGGGGGGGGCCTGGTACACCACATTCACTGGATTGAGCGCCGAGGAGGAAGAGCCTCCACTGAACCCTGCACCTACACACACATGATGTTAATTCTGCATTACATTACCGACTGTACGATACGATTATACTTTAATGTCATGTCTTTTAAAGAAAAAAAGGATAGAAATATTTATCTGTCAGGCACCTGAGCAGCAGCCATGTTTGGGGTCCTTCGGGGAGTCGGCCAGCAGCCTCTCGTTGGTGTCCTCGCTCTCCACCAGCAGTGCGGTGAGTGGAGTGACGAACTGATGCTCCACGGCCAGCGCCATGATCCTCTGAGTGATCTTCCTCTTCTTCACCGCCGTGGGAGCCAGAGACCTGCAGGAGAGACACAGCTGATCACACTGACTATGCAAACACCTGGCATACTCCTGCAGGAGAACGTGTTTCATACAGACGTAATAAAGGGCCATTGGTGTTTGGTTTTTGGAAGTTCACCTTCAGATCCTGTATTCAATGTTTGTGCAACAGTGGCATTGTGTAAAAGAAATGGCATTTTACGGATTACAATTCAGAACATTTATGAATAATTAGTTGTTGTGATCAGGACTGAAGACAAAAAGGATTCAAAAGTCAAGTGGAAGTGGTTGGGGCATTTTGTTATGACAGACATGTCTTTCCTCATTTTAATGTGAAGCACATCGGTTAAACTAATCTGTTTGCATTTATTTCCAATTAATATTCTTGTTTCTTGATTATTTATCCAACAGTTCTCCGTTTCTCTGCAGGCCTCTCACCTCTCAGAGATCAGCTGTTTGACAGTGATGTAGGCCCACATCTGTCTGGCGAAGCCCGTGAAGGAGTGCTGCTGCTTGGCCAGCTCCGTGTCCAGCTCCGTGAAGTCTCCCTCCGTCTCAAAGGTGACGTCCAGACGGGCCTGAGGGAGCACACGGCACAGAGGACACTGGTGGTGCTAAATCTGAACTTCTTCCCTTCAGCAATGGCCTTTAACCCTTTATTTATAAACACATGTATAATTCTATGTGGGAATTGAGATTTGTGTCAACATTTTTAGCAACCTGAAGAGGAAAAACGGTGTAGTATTTCACACAAAAAGAAAAGATTCAGGAAAAGTTGATTTGAAATGTGTGAATCATTTGTGGGTCTCGATTCTTTCGGCAGAAAAAACACAGTTGGAATTTAATGGACAATTCTCACAGGTGTGGAATGGTGTACAGAACTTGTAAATGGAGGTGTTTCTTAATAATCTATTGGTAATCTGAAGAGGCACAACTGAAAGAATCACAAGTAAACATTTTAAATGTTAATGTAAATTGCATTTTACTCACGGCGCGGGCGGTGGTGAAGCTGGTCAGCGTGTTGCTCTCCGACGGCTTCACTTTCCCGGCCACCACCAGCTCCGAGCCGCTGAAGTACTTATCGAAGCGGTTCTGGGTGACGTCTGACACCGAGTCCTCCGGGAACTGAACCTGGATCATCCTCAGCAGGGGGGAGGAGACCTGGCTGTAAAACGCCTGCAGGGGGAGGAGGAGGAGGAGGAGGAGGAGGAGGAGGAGGAGGAGGAAGGAGGAGGGAGGCAGAATTAGATGCTGGAATGAAATATTTTCCTCCCTTTTCTACATAATATATATATATTTTACTTTTAACAATTGAACATAATTATGGAATCAGCAACAGAGTGAGAGAGAGTCAGCTTGGTTTTTATCATGGCTGCATGGAGACCAGACCATGACTTTTGCCTTTTTTCATCAACTAAAGATATGCCATCTGAAATTTGTAGCAAAAAGGGAAAAAAAACTACAAAAAAAGTGATAAAGATGACAAGTCCGGAACTGTCAAATAAAGTGAAAAAAGACAGTGGAAAAAAAATGAAAAAGAACGACAGTCAAAAAAAGTGAAACAAAACCAGACCAGAGAGTCGAGAAAAAGTGAGAAAAAAAAAACAGACCAAAAAATTGAAAAGGTTGACAAAAAATCAAGTCTGGAACTGTCCAAAAAAGTGAAAAAGAACGACAGTCAAAAAAAGTGAAACAAAACCAGACCAAAAAGTGAAAAATATCACATGTCGAAAAAAAGTGAAAAAAAGAAAGTCGAAAAAAAGTGAAAAAGATGACAAGTATGTTTTTTTTTTTAAATATAACAAAGAACTAATGTTGCATGGAGCTTATTCCACTTCCAAAGACAGAGATTGTTTTATTCTACTTGTATGTTTGTGTACCCGGAGCTGCTCTGCTGCATCGTGGTTGGCGTAGATCCTCTGAGCCATGCCTCTGTTCTCCATGGCGATCCGCTCCAGGAAGTCATAGTCCACGTCGAAGCCGATGCCCAGCGAGAAGAGAGAAAACTCCTCCCTCATCACCCGCTTCACATTCTTCTGGATGGTGCCCAGCTTGATCTCACCTGCAGAGAACAAAATATCATCTCAGTGACTAAAGACACAAGACTGTGTTTTAAATTACATGTACACCTAGCATAGAGGGATTTGGATCTCAATTACTCACCCTGTGTCACCTTCAATTCTTTAAGAAAACTGATTGTATGTTCTTGAGCAGCCTTTAAAGTAAGGTTCTATTGAAAAGTCATGCGTTTGCCCATTCCTTGGCCAATTTTCAACATTTCTGCACAAATAACCTATTTTAAGGACTGCATTTTGATTTTAATTCAGATATATTAAACCTATTTTCACATTATTGTGTCGTACCTTTCTTTGTAATATTCCCCCATTCTATACAGTAATTATTTTTCTTGATTTTTGTACTTGTTTAGACCCACCATTTCTTCACACATTTTAAATAAACTGCACAGCTTTCTCCTTTGAATTCAGACTTATTGTACACATATGGTTATTTTCCTCCATTATGTTTTAGTTTGATTTCATTTTCTATGAAATGTGTTCACACAACAAAGCCTACATGAAAACACTCTAAAAATCTATTGAACATCAGTCCTACCTACGGTGGGGTCTCCGTCAGACACCAGGATGATCATGGAGACGGAGCGGGGGTCGATGAGCCCCTGATTGGACGCCCTCACCAGCATCTGCACAGCTCTCATCAGAGCCTCGTTAATGTTGGTACCTGCGGTCAGTAGAATGTGGTCGTTAACACACCAATGTTCATGTTCACCAGGGTATCAGAGCGACCTCCCACTAGATTATGAACACCAGGGTATCAGAGCGACCTCCCACTAGATTATGAACACCAGGGTATCAGAGCGACCTCCCACTAGATTATGAACACCAGGGTATCAGAGCGACCTCCCACTAGATTATGAACACCAGGGTATCAGAGGGACCTCCCACTAGATTAAAGAGTCGTTTTCTCTCACACCTCCGTTGGGTTTGATGTTCTGGACGTATCTCTTGGCGTCTGCGATCTGAATGGAGGATCCGGCCACCAGCTCTTCGTTCCAGCAGCGCACGTTGTGGTTGAAGTCGATGATGCTGAAGTGGTCGTCTATGGTCATGTCCTCCAGAATGGCCTGCATGGCCTCCACTGTCTGAGAGAGCAGAGGGGATTAAATGCACTTTTCTTTCTTCGAATTATAAAAATCCAGTCTTTTAATAGATATGATTTTGAAATTGGCCATAATTAAGTACATTCACCTTTTTGTACTTTGAGGACATTTTAATGCCAATACTTTTGTACTTTTACTTAAAGTAAGACCTAGAAAGAAGGACTTTTACTTTCAACAGAGTGTATTTACAATTATTCATCATCGATTTACTTCAGTAAAAGATATAGAACTTCTTCCACCATTGCTCTCAGTACAAGTACCATTTGCCCTTACCGAATATGTACTATTGCATGCCGTATGCATACAATTGGGACATAGTACACAATGCAACCTGATGAATCCAAGTGTTTTCTATGTATTGGGACATACTTTATCTTTCTGGCATACTCAATAGTTTGGTAGTGTGGGTCAAAGTGCACAAAACTCCATGTCAGCAAACGACTCACTTGCTTCATCTTGACTCCCCACATGGATCCGCTGACGTCAATGACGAACACGATGTTTTTAGGGAGAGGAGAGAGGTTGGAGGGAGCAAAGAACTGGATGAAGTGGCCGTCTGAGACCTGGAGGAAACAGTAAAGGTGTGATCATCTCCAAAAGTGTTTGTGGCCATATACGACATAAAACAAGTTATTATTGAGGCTTTAAAGATAACATACCTGTAGTTCTCCGGCATTGCCGTCCCGGGTCACATCATATCTGACGGTGAAGATGCCGTCTATAGCGCTTCCAGTGCAGTTGTCACATTTTCTCTGCTGCTGGAGGTTTGGCTTGAAGACAATATGAGCCTGAGGACAAAGACAGATCATGATTAGATATAATATGCTACAAGTGAATGATCCATGACAAGAAAGGGTAGGTTTTTGGTCTTGTGTGTGTACAGTATGTGTGATGTTTAAACAATGGTTTAATGCAAATATCGTCACCATTTGACCATTTATAAAGAAAAAACAATTAATGAGACGCAAAAATAAAACAAAATTCCTTTTCCGAGGCCAATCATGGGCCTTAATATTTAACATCAAGTATTTTTGTCAAGCAAAGAATATATAAAAATACATTGGTTGCCTCCTTTCTGTCATTACAGGGTTTACATTTTTATTTTTTTATACATATATATATATATATATATATTTGTTTATAAATATATTTTAGAGTTTTTCATACTTTAACCCATCATTGGTCAATTTAAATGTCCAGAAGTCAGTCAGGATTTTGCTCAACTGTGCATAGCCCCTAATATTCCCAAACAGGCTTCAGGTTATCGTAAAAAATGGTCGCACCATCGTCAGAACAGCTATTTGTACCATGATACAGATAAAAAATCATCTACATTTGCTGTATCCCTCTGGGTGTTTTCCAGTCTTACCTTCTCTTTGGTCGAGGTCACTTTGATATTCCCTACAAACTGCTCTCCGAGGGTGTTTGGTGTTTCTACCATGGAGATTCCCTTGGGCTCAAAGATGTACACATCCACCTGAAGAGAGACTGGGTCAGGGAACATTGGTATAAGATATACAGACTTGCAAACGTACATTTATTACGATTTTCTCACCTGGAACTGAGGCACCAGCCTCCCAGGCTGCAGGAACAGCGAGTGCTCGTAGAAGCCCAGCCTCCTGTGCATCATCTCCTGGTAGTGCAGCTCAAACTCAATGTTACTGCCAGGAGGAACATGCACTTCTGTTTTAAACGTCTCCATGTCCTGGGAATTGGCCCTGGAAAGCAGCAAGATTTAAGTGAGCATGATCATTGTTGGATTACTGGGCATAGCCACATACAGAATGTCTCTCAAAAGGGACACGTTATGATTCTCCAGAAAGAGAATTAAAATGACCACAAAGAAAACGAGAACAAAGACAAGAGACAACAGCAACTATAAATAGATGCTAAACAGCTACAAAGAGACTCACAAAAGCTATTAAAAAGGGGTAAAACAAACACAAAGAGACACAAAATGATAAGAATAAGAATGAAAACCGAGAGAGATGAGAAAAGCTGCAAACTGACACAAAATATTAACAAAAGTGACTAAAAATGACAGAATAAAGATACAAAACAACTCCAGAGACTTAAAATGTATAGGAGACACACAAAATGCTACAAAAAGATGAAAATAACTATTAAAAAGTGTCGAAACAACACAGAGTTAAAATAAAATAAAATAAATTAATACAAAGAGACACAAAGTAGCTTCACAAAAGGACAGAAAATGACTACAAATCAACAAAAAAGGGACTCAAAATGAGGACAAAACTCACAAAATAGCTACAATGAGATGCATAACAACCACAAAAACACCCTAAACCCTACAAAGGGACTCAAAATGACTACAAAACAGATACACTACAACAACGAATCGAGGCAAAGCAACCATAACGTGTGTGTTTCCCTCCTAAACTGAATGCAAGGTGATTTGTAGGTCTGTCTCCTTGGTGTTTCAGCTCCAGAGGCCCAGCAGTATACCTGACGATGCCCGCTGCCTTGCCTCTGGCTCGGGCCTGGGCGTACAGGTTCCTGGCCACCGTCTTCTCCTTCACCGAGCCCACGAATATGATCCCGTTCACATTCCTGCAACGAGAAGAGAGCGGGGTTAATCTCTGCACACTCTCTGTGACAGCAGCTGGGACTGAAAAAGGCCTCACATGGTGAAGTTAGTGATGAAAGCTCGTTTGGGGATCTGCACGTTGAAGCCGATGCTCTGGGCCTTGGAGCCCGAGTTGAGCACGGAGCTCCGGACGGTGGTGTGGGCAAAGCGGGACGTGATGCGGCTCTCCACCTTGTAGCTCTTCACCGTGATGTCTTCACCACGGATCGCCTGAGAAGATCATGGAAGAATTAGGATATTAGAAACAGGAGTAGGTTTTTAACTTTCTCTGACTTGGACCACTTTTTATTTTAGAATTTGTGCCATAATATTCTACACCTATCTTAATATCTAAGAGATGTCTTTCTGAGTTTTGTCTTCAAAAATATGAAATTTCAAATAATTATGTAATAGGAAAATAAAAGGAAGAAAATTGGGACCTTTTTATTCTGCTGCGGTGTTATTTAATGTATATGTAAGATAAGATAAGAATTACTTTATTGATCCCAATTTGGGATTTATTTTGCGTTGCAGCAGCATAAAAAGAATTATAAGCATTATAAAAAAAGTAGAAAATATACAATATATAAAGCAGGATATTATATACATCCATATATGTGAGGAATGGAATACTAAATAGTATATTGAATATAAATGAAACATGTACAAGCTACATATGGTAAATTGTTGTTGTTGTTGTTCTTATTACTATTATTATCTGAATGGTGTCCAACTGTGTGCCACAAAACCACACAAACTGCTATTCCTCTTTAAATATCCCCTGAGGTTTGTATACATTTAAAAAACTTTAAAACAATTCCATTGGTTTATTTATTCTGCATTTACTTCTATTACATCTTCCAAACCCAAGTGTCTTGATGTAACACTTCCCCTAAATGTGATAAAAGCAGCTGACTGTCCCAGTGATTAGATTTTTTTTAGGAAGAGAAAGACAGACATAAAAGGGAATGAGAGCAGGATTATTTCAGAACAAAGTCAATAACCCGTCAGTCACAGGAGTCTCTTCAAACAGACGCATATCGACTGTGAGATAACGGTCAACTCTGTCACAGAGAGAGGGCTCCAACAACAAGAGTCATACCTCAAAGTCTTCCTGCTCCTCGCTGGTCAATATGGCTCTCTGGAACACACACACACACACACACACACACACACACACACACACACACACACACACACACACACACACACACACACACACACACACACACACACACACACACACACACACACACACACACACACACACACACACACACACACACACACACACACACACACACGAGATGATTATGATGAACAAACTATGGTTATTTAGACACATGTGTCACAGGTTACATTCAGGATCAGAGCAGGTCTGTAGGATGATGCTTTGTACATTTTTGCGCAATCTGTAAGAACCACACTGTGGATCAATGATTATTGCAACATCAATGAGAAAACAAAAATCAAGCTCTGTATTCTGCATTTAGAAATGAATATAAATGAGAACAATTAGGCTGTTTTCTGAAGGAGATCTCACCTTGTGCCTCTCCCGATGATCCCGCATATCTGACTGGAGGCAGAAGGAAAATCAGATTTTAAAACATATAAAATGACCTGTGTTGGCGACACAATTTATGCTTGAGACGTGTGAATTTCAATTGGATTTACTTACATTTACAAAAACTGAGATATTAACTGACATGTTAGCAGTACAAGAGAGTTGGTTTTAAAGGTTAAAGGTCAGGGCAAGCCATTACATTTAATTTAAAAACAGATATAAACATAAGAACAAATGTTTTTCTTAATAATGATGAAAAGCAATCAAGCAGCATTAGCCTAGTTAGGTGAATAATACTAAATATTTGTATTTGTTCAACAACAGTTCAAAAAGAAGACAGGAGGTTAAGAAATGCTATAGTTCTGCTATATAAGGGTGAGATTTTAAGGGAGTTTTTAAAGTCAAAAGTCAGGTCAAATATTTTAATTTCATGTAAATACAATTCCCACATAGACTAAAAGAAAACCCCTCCAATTTAAATGATTCCCAACTCTTTCAAGACATTAAACAAATAAACACTTCCCTATTAATTGAGTCTCGATTAAGTGTGAATCATAACATCCCATAGAAAGGAATATAATACAACAATATAAATAAAAATATGTCATGTCCTTGTGCCAGACATTTAAATAGACCCAAAAATCATCAGCAGATGCAGAGTTTATTCACATTCAACAGAACAAAAATGTATGTTTTGGCTTTCTTTCACTTTGACATGTTTTTGATATCTTTCTAAAAAGTGGGTTAAGCTTTGTTTTGCAAATGTAACTTTTCTCCAAGTGCCTGTAAACTCACCACGTCCTCCTCCCATTCTCCATCTATCACAAACTCAAAGCAGCAGGCCTGTTGGAGCAGCAGGAGCCCGAGGAGCAGCAGAAGACGCCTCATGTTTCCTACACACACACACTCACACACATATAAAACAGCGCTGAGAGACAGACGGTCCTTCTGAGCTGAAAACTGAAGGTTAAAATCCACTGAACTGATCGACTCCCAGCCCCAGTCAATATTTGTTGTGTTTCATGTAGAGAGGAGAAGGAAACTTTGAAACTTGACCTGCAGTGTGGGCAGGGTAAATAACACACAGATTAAACACTAATACAGATTGTTTTAACGAATGGGACTTGGATATAAAAGTCACAATTTTGAAGCACATTTGGCCAGATATCATCATGTTGAGTTTCTAATATAGAGGTGGCAGTTTTTTTAATAATTTAAAGGCACAAAGAATTAAATTTCAATGCACATATCCTGAGTTTACAGGAGAAAGATGTAATGTGGCGTTATGCCCACAAGATGGCACTAAAGTGGTCCTTTAGTGAAGCCACTACTGTATGTCTCTTCATTTACAGTAAAAATGCATTAGTGGATGTTATAACTGTCAATTTGAGTATTAGTAAATGCTTATTTTAGGGAAATATCATGTTTGTTCACAGTGTCACTGAAAAAAACAAAATTTGAAATGCAAAGTAGGAATTAATTCTTGTTCTTTTAACTACAAAAAACTGAAAATGAAAGACAATAACACTGACTGGGTGTTGTGCCTCTTTGTTTTATATTAAACTAAATAAACAAATATATCCCTCTAAAATAATATATTCTCCAATATTTGGCTACATCATTTGTAGTTTTAATAGTTAGGTGAACTTTACGCAGCCCCCCTGTTGACATTGGTGAGAAAAATATTAATGCGTGGCCACAAATTAATAATGCGTGGCCACAAATTAGTTATTATGTTCCCACGAATTAGTAATGCATGGCCACACAATAATGATTGAGCTCTGTGGCTACGCATTATTAATTTGTGGCCACGCATTATTAATTTGTGGCCACGCATTAATATTTTTATTCCGTAGCATCCAGATATATAAATAAAATACATTTTTATGACAGACTGACTGAAGTGCGGGTTCGTGGCTGCCACCTAGTGGTGATTAAAGGTAGGTTAAAATGATGTCATATCTCTCTCCCTATGAGTCAGAACTGACTCAATGGTACGATAACATACAGGTGAGGGACATGCTAGAAAATACCGGATACAGAATTTCTTAACTTAACCTCAACCTTTTTAGGTGGAAATTGTATTTAAATAAATCCATAAGATAATAAGTCTAGGTACCATGTAATTATTTTTAAAAGACCTGGTGCCTGCATTTAATCTTTTTACCCAAATAAATAAACACATTTTTACCAGAAGTTGGTGCATAAAAAGTGACCTGAATCCAGGACATTTAGTTTTTAAAGCTCAAATATGTTACACCTGCTGCCTAATATTTGTTCCTCCGTAATGTTGAAACGAAACGCCCTTGCTCTCCACCTTGCAAAAAAAACTGAACGTGTTCAGGGACTTCTTTTGTCGTGTTACTCATAGTTGCATAAAATCCAACACTCCTGTAGAAAGAAATCTAATCTAATCTCAAATGTATAATACATATAACAAAGTCATGTAATATAGTAATACAACATTCTTATCAGGACAGCCAAGACAGCCAGTACGTTTTTACTTTGCTTATGTTTTTACAAGTAATATCCAAGCTTTAGTCAGACTTGAGTCCTGCTATAAAGCTTATCCTTAAAAAAGAAATCAGAGATACAAAAAAAAGAGAATCCAGAAAATGAAGCACCAAGTTACCACTTTAGAGCTAAAACACCAAATAATAACGTCTGTTTTTTTTTCATGGACTGTCTTTCAGGGTTGAACTCGTAAAGGCAAACACTCCAACAGTGCCTGAAGGCAGCAGTGGTCTGAAACTGTGCATCCCTCTCCTCCGGTGGGGGGGGGGGGGGGGGGGGGGGGGAGGGGAGTGTTTTTTCTACTCGGCCCCGGGCTGTCCCCTCTCTGTCCGGTCACTCTTCTCAGGACAGACGGAGACTCGGAGACGCAGCGCTGGAAATAATGTCCCATTTATCTGTCTGAGTTTAACTGGAGAAGGACTGCACGATGCTGCTGCTGCTGCTCACTTTTCTGATCATTTGCTCCAGTCCGACAGTTCTGGGGCAACAGGAGGAATCCCTGTTTGAAGATGATGTCGACCTCGCAGACTTTGATTTAGACATTGTAAGACTTTTAAAAGGACGAAGGTGTTATATTCTGCTGTTTGGATTTCCTTATCTGACATTTTTCTTGTCCACACAGGCGCCACGCAGGGTCCCACGGCAGGTGAAAACTATCTTAACCAAGGTAAAATCAAATGTATACGAAGATATTTCAATATTTCTTTCTTTATTGAGTTTTATTTTTATTTAGACACTAAAGATTTGAGTTTGGGATAGAGCCCACCTGTAAACAATACCATAGTTGCAAAGAAAAGGCATTCAACATTTTAAGCAAAAATAAAATGTCCTGGAGTCTTGTGATGGGTATGATAATTTGGCACATCAACTAAATATTGATGCCATTAATCTGTCAATACTATAGAAGTAAAGGAGTTTGAACTCCCAAAAAACATGACTAAATATAACTTGATATCTCTAATACTGACATAGAATGCATGAACATTTTTCAGTTTTTTGGAGGTTATTTTATCCCCCTAAAGTTGTGCGCATAGGGCGTGACGCGCAGGAGGACCGCCAAGCGCGCAGCTGTGCCAAAGTATCTGTAATGCACTTAGCTCATGGGAACACATTCCCCTCCCTGTATTTGGTTATTGTTATTATGGAGGAATTCAGGGGGTGAGACATCTTAGCTAATCAAAAATACATCTGAGGTTTTAATACGCACAGAAAAGATGCGTAAAATGTGCCAAATTAGCGTTTTTGCTTCTGATGTGAGCGTTTTACCTCTGCAGGAGACTAAGCCTCACATCCAAGAGCTCTCCATCAAGACCACCATCATCTCCCGCTACGCCTTCACCGCGGTGTACTGCGCCATGCTCAACCGACACTCCGCCGCCGCAGAGGGGGTTTTCAGCTTCCAGATCCCCGCCGGAGCATACGTCTCCAACTTCACCATGTAAGAGTCCTGTAGTATGAGCACCAACAATACCTCACAGAACACAAACTCATACTAACATGATCAATGCAATATTAAGACACAAAGTTGGATTTCACTGTAACCTGGACACATTGTAACTCTAAGGAAAATCTGCCTTATTTAAAAATCAAATAAACCCCATCAACACATAAAACAATGGATATTAAAACATTTGTATTAGTGATTATGAAATATACTGAACCAACTGAGAGCATGGTCAATTTTTACTGGATTTTTTAATTCATAAGGAGCTAAAAGCAACCCGTACTTCAGAATAAAGTGTCATTTTCCTTTCTGGCCCTATTATTATCGTTTCACACCTACGTTTTATCTTAGGGTCTATAAAAAGGGCCTGACCCCCAGGTTGAGATCCATTTTCTCTAATTGCAAAAACAAAGAGAAAAGGCAAGTTGATGAGACTTAAAAAAAACGAGTTGCTAATACAAGGCATCTCACCTCAATGAGCATTATAAGCAAATACAAAAGGCATGTAATACACTTTAGTAAACAAAAACAGAAGATAAAGAGAGTATAAATGAAGTTTAACCAAGACAGTCAGTTAGATTTGGCAAGTTTAACTCAAAGCTTTTCCTAATATAAACAACCCATCCTTAAAAAGGGAGCAGATATCCATATATAAATTCCCAAAACCTTCTTGAAAGCAATTTAAAATCTTATCAGCAGAAAATGTAGCACACCATTTTACAATTTAGAGCTATAACACCAAATAATAGCATCATCGGGTGAAGCTGGAAGGATTTACAATGTTTTGGTTTCTATGGAGACGTTAGCAAGGAGACAAGAAAAGGGTTAACCTTCGTTAACACACTCAGTGACCACAGTTCATTCACATGCACCCCCATAAACAGGTAACAACAGGATTTCACCCACAAATTCTGTCTATTGTGTGAGAAAGCCAAGTCTAAACGGGACAATAGGTGGTCCGCAGCAATCTAATCCTCGACCTTTGACCCCCTGAACCAGGATCATCGGAGGGCGCGTCTACCAGAGCGAGGTCAGGCCCAAGCTGAAGAAGGTCAAGCAGGAGAACGGAAAAGCCCGGAACAAAGAGTCAGGTGAAGCAAGGTAAGAGTAACCTGAGTGTGTGTGTGTGTGTGTGTGTGTGTGTGTGTGTGTGTGTGTCCCCTCCTATGGTCTGGCGTCTCCTCCTAATAACACAGCAGGCTCTCGCTCCCTCTAATGTTCCTATTTGGCAAACAAAGATTAATAATATCCCAACTAAACACACTTTAACCACAACTTGGCAGCCAATAAGAGTGTGTCCTGTGAGTGTGTGTGTCAGTGGTGGTCAAGTAACTAAGTACTTTTACCTAGGAACTGTACTTAATTACAAATTTGACATACTTAAACTTTACTTGAGTATTTTTGTCTCCATTATAATTCAGAAGGAAATATCGTTTTTTTTAAAACTACATTTACTTTACTAGCTTTAGTTACTTTATAGATTCATATTTGTATACACACAACCTATGAAGAACTTTTGAAACATGATGTTTTGATATAGATTAAAGTAAACTAACCTAAAACAATGAGCGAGAAGACAGAAAAATGATATTACCTTTAAATACTTTTCCTAATCATATCTTAGTATTTTTTCTTTGGTATAGGATCTGACATCTTTTTCCACCACTAATGTGTGTGTGTGTGTGTGTGTGTGTGTGTGTGTGTGTGTGTGTGTGTGTGTGTGTGTGTGTGTGTGTGTGTGTGTGTGTGTGTGTGTGTGTGTGTGTGTGTGTGTGTGTGTGTGTGTGCGTGTGTGTGTGCGTGTGTGTGTGTGTGTGCGTGTGCGTTCTGATCATTTCTCCAGAGGCAAGGATTGTCGTATAAATCTGTGACCCAAAAAGTGACATATGGAAGAAATGACATCACGTTTCCAGCTGTCAAATGAAAAAGGGACATTTTATTGAATGAGATTTGGTGATTCAGTGACTCCGTTGTAAAGAAAGGGCAGCGGGAGGAAGGAGAGGATTGTGAGATTACACAAAGGCAGTATCAAATGTACGATATCACCTCCTCTTGGGTGCTCCTCCACCTCTAGTCTGATGGTTACTGGTTTTTTCATTTACAGCTGTGGCTTTACTTTATTTAACCTTCATGTTACAGCTGTGGACACTGATGTTTGGAGAGAGCAGCATCGTGGCACACTCATAATAGGAACAGTGGCTAATATAGACGGGTTAAGAAAAAGGAGTGAAATTAAAGAGCAATAAAATGTACTAATACACCAGCAGTAAACCCCAATGATTCTTGACTAAACAACCCAAAGACCACTCCTCAATGTTTACATTTAAAATATTACTAAGTCACTTTGTGTAGAATGAACGTTTTTCCAACTGTGACCCTATGCAGTGTTAGCTTAAAAAAAGGATAGACAGTATTCCACGACAAACATTGTAATCATTACACCTATTTAAACACAGTGTGATATTCATACCAAACTAAAAATGAATGCAAGTCAATGGCTGATCAGCATATTCAAATACAAACTTGTAAAAAATTATGTAAAAGTTTAAAAACTTGCAGAAATTGAAAATCAGAATCAGAATACTTTATTTATCCTAGGGGAGATGTGGCTTGTTGACAGTGGCTTTAAGAGTTAAAACAAAAGTAAATAAAAAAATAGCATAAAATGTTGACATAAAATGAAAAAACGCATCATCGAATAAAAGATGCACATTGTACCACAAAATAAAACTTGTATATTACAATATAGTATTAATAAGGTATGAATGCACAGTTTAAAGGGTACCTGACCATTACTCTGTCTCCTCCCCTCTCCACCCTACAGCCCAGAGCAGGAGTTGGAGGTGTTCAGGATGTCGGCCAGCATCCCGGGTCGGAACCGGGCCGTGTTCCTGCTGACGTACGAGGAGCTGCTGCAGCGGCGGCTCGGACGCTACGAACACGTGACGAGCCTGAGACCGCTCCAGCTGGTCAGCCGCCTCAGCCTGGACGTCACCATCGTGGACCACTCCCCCATCACCCACCTCCAGGTGCTGCCGCTGCGCAATGGCAGGAGCACCAACTCCGGATCTTCAAAAACACAAGGTTACACACATCATATTTTATTTGATCATATATTTAATATAGTTTTACTTGTTCAATCTTTGCTTTGATTCTTTTTCTAAAACTTCCTGTCTTTGTGCCTCAGTGAAGAAGGACCCTCCCGTCACCTCTGTGATCAAACAGGAGAAAAACGTCTGCAAGATCACCTTCGGCCCGAACATCGTCCAACAGGCCAAGATCACCACCAGCGGCTTGCTGGGAGACTTTGTGATCCGCTACGATGTGCAGAGAGAGATGGGGATAGGAGACATTCAGGTACACTACGATCCCTTTGTAGACTCTGCATTATAGACACAAAGAGAAGCGAACATTTTGATGATGAAAAGCAGATTGAAAAAGCATTAGCTTTCATATTTTGCACACTAAATTCCCGTCCAACTTTACACACACACTCCTCCACCCACCTGTTAGTGATTCAGTTCTCTGGTTTCTTGCCACCGCCGTCACTCCGCTGCCAAACACTTCGCTGTGTCTGCACTTCTTTTCTAATCACACCCAACTGATGCAACTCACTGCCTGTTGCATGTCTGTAAACCTCTTTCTTTCCTAGGTTTTAAACGGCCACTTTGTCCACTACTTCGCCCCCAAAGACCTGCCGGCGGTGCCCAAGAATGTGGTGTTTGTGATCGACACCAGTGCCTCCATGGTGGGGACGAAGATCAGACAGGTAAAGCAGCACACTCAGAAAGGTTATCTAGACATCTGTTTGGAAGTTAAAGCTGCTGGAATGTGTTAACAAGTGTTGTTTGTCTTAAGTGATCTGTGTAGGGTTTCCACTCTTACACAGGAGAACGCTTTGGGATTTTACTCTTGTAAGATCTTGTGTTTTCGCCAGTTCTCGGAAATGTACTAAAAACTCCCAATATGTTTGATATATCATAGATTTTTAAAGGTTTTAGGTTTTTAACAAATGCTTTTTTCTTACCTTTAAGGCCGTCATACAAAGCAGATACAACGTTTTAAGCAATTGGATTTTGGGAATCTGTTGCATCCACACTGAAGGCTGAAACATTAACGTTATTCTAACCCTATTGCAGAAAAAAGTTTCAGCTTACTTTTCCAGAGTGATAAAGTTATTCCTTCCAATGCACAGCGAGTGACTTTAAGCAGAATTTCAATGGCTGTTTCAGATCAGAAACCCTACACCCCACCTCCACCCTCCCACACTGGAATATCAATATCAGACCTTTTTCCTCCATCTGCAATAGCACCATAATCCCCTCGGCGAGACTAACAGTTGATCTCTGCAGCTGCCATGAGCGCAGAAACAGAGCAGAGGAGAGAAAAAACAGATTTTCAGTGAGAAAGAAAAAAGTGGAAACATACAGCACAAGGCCGTGTTGTGAGGGAGGAAGGTCAGTGTCTATGGGGTAATGGAACTTTTTAGACAACAGCACCCTCGACCCCTTGATCCAATCCCCCACCCTTCGCCAACCCCCAGCGAGCCACAGGAACAGAACAACAAGTGTGTTTGATGTGGCTCCACAATAGAGGGTTTCAGTGTGGGTCAATCTGTGGTTCTGACCCCTGTTGTATACAGCCCTTATAGACATTGTAAACCCCCCAGCGCCAAATTATATATCACCCACACTCAATGCAGCAAAGATGCTGACATTCTAAAGCTCCATAACAAAAAAGTAGGAAGACGTCTGTATACTTTTCATGTCTTTTTGTATTTACAAAGACACATTTAAAGCATGACATCTTAAGTTTCAAGGGTCAACATTTATGGTTTAAGCTATAAATGGAAACAGTATAGTACTAGAAGGGCACTCAGGGAAGCTGGACATCCGCATAGGTAGTTTCCAAAAGTGAAAAGTAACGGTGCACCACAAGATACGGATCGACTCCAAAAAATGGATTGGGTTCTTTCTTGGACCGATACTACACTGTTCATACTGTATACAGAACAGAAAACAAACCCCTCGTTGGGGCAGTTAATGATGATTTAAAAAAGGTATAACGCTGAATCATCAGCAAACAATCAAAAACCTACGGTGCGGGTGGAGAAAATCGTTATGTTTCCGATCAATTGTGTCTGCATGAATGCAAGGGTTACGGTCCGTCTAAATGGCCAGACAATGGCAAATACAGCTGCAATGAACAGATGAAACAGTTGCATGACCAAAGACAAGGGGCAAAGAATTACAATCTTAGACTTAAACTCAAATGTCATTCAACATATAGTTTAAGGAGAACCCTAGTCTTCTTCTGTAGGTTGGATTGACACAAGGTTCAATTATTTATCTTTCTTTTTCAGACGAAAGATGCTCTGTTCACCATTCTGAAGGATCTGCGACCTGGCGATCACTTTAACTTCATCAGCTTCTCCAACAAGATCAAAGTGTGGCAGCCGAATCGCCTCGTACCGGTGACGCCGCTGAACATCAGAGATGCCAAGAAGTTTATTTACATGATGGTGCCCACTGGAGGTCATTCTTTTCTTTATGGTTTTTCCTTCTTCTCCACAGTCCCTACACTTTTGATAGCGGTGTAAACAGATTACATTTAAATATCTACACAGAAAAGGATTATCTGCATTGAATGACACTGTGGGTTTAAAGTGGAAAACCACTTGTTTAAGGGTTTTTGTGACCTCCTGGGCTGGCCATTAAATCTTCAAGTTCAACTTATTGACTGTACTTCCAATCCTTAAATAGGATTTGCCCTGACATCTCCTCACTCACTGCAGGCACAAATATCGATGGTGGCATCCAAACTGGTTCAGATCTGCTTCGTGAGTACCTCTCAAGCCCTGACGCCGGCCCGAACAGCGTCTCCCTCATCATATTCATGACGGATGGACGGCCAACGGTAGGAGAGATCAAGTCCACAGCGATCTTGGGAAACACTCGCTCAGCTGTGCAGGAGAAGTTCTGCATCTTCACCATCGGGATGGGGAATGACGTGGATTATCGCCTGCTGGACCGCATGGCTCTGGAAAACTGTGGGATGATGAGACGCATCCCAGAGGACGCAGACGCCAGCGCTATGCTCAAAGGGTAAGAGGGTCCTCTTTATATCAGTCCAGTCTATTGAAGCAATATTTCTTCCATTAAAAGGCCATCTTGTGATATTTCCAAACATAATTATTTTTGTTTAGATATATAGGATATATATATTGACATAAACTGAAGATAGTAAAGACATGTTCTGAAAGTTGTCTTGGTTTGATCCCTTGAGGGGCTTTCTTTTCTGTATCCACCTTCGCTGCTGACTGTAACGCGTTTGCATTGAAATTGCCAAAACTTGCTGATGATCAAACAGGACTTTGGTATGAATCACCTACTAGACATTAGGTGTTTTGAACAAACATTGAAAAGACATAAAATTATATCAATGAGTTTAACCTCAAATGATTCATTATTGTCAAATTGACCCTTAAATGTGTAGAATCTGCGTCTTATTAGCCAATTAGCTCCCCGTAATCCCTCCCCTCTCCCTCTGACACGTCCCCCCATCTTTCATCAAGTTATGAGTGAACGAGGACCGCAAATGTGACGGTGCTGACAACAGTCCTCTTTAATCAACTTCAAAATAGGAAAGCCACAGACTACAACAGTCAGTCTCTTTCTCTCTCAATTTTCTTCCCTATCCTTTACACACAACCCTCTTCCGCACTCGGACACACAAGGTGTTTGTTCAGCAGAGCAGGAATGTGTGTGTGTTGTGAAACCTGCATCTGAGTGTGTATGTGGGGTTAACAGATAGACTCCTCAGATAATAGCCCTCGTCCTGCTTGAACAAACATGCTGTTTAAAAGGTGAGGAGGTTTACTGCGGCGTGACTACAAGGATAGGACAGGGGAATTGCACACACATACACAACCTTTGCTTTATACACACTCTTTAATGAATGTGTGCACAAACTCTGAAGTGGGGTGGAAGCAGCCTTGAGAGGTTAGACAAGCAGGTTTATGGCCGGAAGATGGTTTGTTTGAATACTAGACATTTGATGAAACGTGGTATAATAGGCTTCTATTTTTGCTGCAAAAACTACCGCTGATGTGCCCTTGAGCTAAGCACTTAACGTGACTAAAACAACAGAAACAGAATAGACCAGGTGGAAGTCAGGTTTCGGATACTGTGTGCATATGTGAAACAATAAGTATAAGAAATAAGGCTGACAACATTTTTGAGCGAAATTGATATCAGAACAGCTCCACAGAAAAGTATCTATTGTTATGTTTCTACAGAATAATAGAAAGGAGAAAATAACTATAATGCATGAAATCAACTTTTAAGGAAATTAACGGTCTAAGCCTATGTGGAAAACTTTTACAACCTTTAAATTAGCATTCATTTGGCTAAATTGGTGCTTGAGAGTTATACAGTAAAATTAGCATAGCATTGTCCTCAGGTGAAGGGGCAAAGGAGCATACGAGTGACTTTGGGAGGTACTGACAAAGAATGAGAGCCAGCTTAAAAGAATTTCAGGCTACTTCAAAGGAATTACCTCTTATGTCTTTTTTTACCACTTTTCCTTGACATTGATGAAAAGAGTCATCAGATCAAGGAAAGGAAAAGACTGTTGTGCTAAACGAACCCACACATACACTAGGCTACTTAATTATGCAATAACAGATCTTAAAAACATTATTCTACCTCTCCTCGTTCCTCTACAGGTTCTACGATGAGATAGGAACTCCTCTACTGTCCGACATCAGGATCAACTACACCGAGGACTCGGTCCAGTACGTCACTCAGCATCTGTTCACCAACTACTTCAACGGCTCTGAGATTGTCATCGCCGGCAAGCTTACCAACGACAGCGTGGAATCGCTCCACGTCCAGGTTACAGCCAGCAACAATGACAAGAACATCATCCTGGAAACCGACATACCTCTGCGGAACCGGCAGATCGAGACTGAGAAACATGTGAATGCAGCCAGAGTAGCAATGGCGTCTGGCCCTAAAACACCAGCGTCAGGGGTCACACATGGATTAGGAATTGCTTTGGGTTCGATAGCGGAGGACTTTGTGGAGCGCGTCTGGGGTTTCCTGAGCGTCAAGGATGGGCTACGGTCACGTCTACGCAGCCAAACTAGCAAAGAAAGAGAAGACCACATCAAACAGGCAACCAATCTTTCTCTGACCTACAACTTCCTCACCCCCCTCACCAACATGGTGGTGGAGAAGCCTGAGGTCCTCGCTGATGGCACCATGGCCCCGACGCCAACCAGCCCCCCATCATCTGGCGACGCTGTCTCAACTGTCAATGAGCTGCCAAGTGACGCAGAGGATGAAGAGCCACAGAGAGACAACAAAAAGCCAAGCAGTCAGAATCTATCTCTAGGCAACAAGATAGGTAAGGTCGTTCTTCAAGTTCTAGTAGTAAGAGGTATCCAAAAACACAACTGTCTAAAGTGGGAATCAAACTGAAATTGTTTTGGGAATTAAATCCTCACGGTGGATCTGATAAGTTGGTCATTTGCAGAGAACAGCAGGAGCAGTAATAATGAGTTGAAACTGTGACTGAGTTAAATGGCTGAAAAACAAGTATTATAATACAACACATTAACAACAAACTGTGTATAGCCATAATCTGGGAAAATGTGACTAAATATAGTTTCCCTTTGATGCTAGCAAGGTTAGCTGCTCATGGTAACCTAGTTTAACCAAACTGTGGCTAAAAATATGAGTGTTTAGGGGTGGGAGTAGGTTGTTCTGTAAGTAAGAACCAATACGTTTCTATGATTTATTTTTACGTAATTCAGCTTGGTCCCTCCCCTTCCGGTGGGACCCATGGGACCTTATTTCGGAAAAAGTTTGAATTGAAGTCAATGGAGAGAGAAAGATTATCTTTCGATCCCGTTTGAATTGTGCCACGAATTACACATATGATGTTTGTCAATCTTAAAAAAAGTCACAGTTTGTCGTAAAACTGTTGAAATATAAGACTATGAAAAATACGCAACTAGAAAGACTACAAATCCCAGAATCCCGGTCCCGCATGCTGGCTCTTACGGGAACCGACTAACTCCCCTTTTGTGTATGTACAGCTCTCAACATGCCCAGACTTGTAGTGATTTTCACCTCTTTTAATACTTTTCGCCTCATTCTGAGAGAAAGAAGTGAAATGTGCCAACGTGACGGCCGTCTTGGTGTGTGGTGCGAGACGGGAGATGTAGTTCATTGAGCGGTTTCACACAAAAAAAGTGTTACTTCACAGTTTTACGACACATTTTTATTTTTTTGACTTGTAAAATTATCTTTTAAATTGACAAACATCATATGTGTAATTCGTGGCACAATTCAAACGGGATCGAAAGATAATCTTTCTCTCTCCATTGACTTCAATGCATAACTTTTCCGAAATAAGGTCCCATGGAGCTCAACCGGAAGGGGAGGGACTTCGCCTCTCTATTTGGGAGCCATTTTAAGTGTTTGCAATCCAAGCTAACTACAGCTTTGTCCTCTGCAAAGGTACAAATTACAAACTTTTGAGAGCCACATTTCAGAAAAAAATTAAACAACTAACAAACTAATATGGAAGATGTTGAGAGGAAGCCTCAAACAATGGCTGCCATCTCAATGGTAATTTTTCCTTGCAGGTAAAGTTGAGAGAAGACCAGACAAGAAATCCATCACCGTCTCCAAAACATCAGGTGACTCCTCATTCCCTCTCTCATGTAAACAGTTTTACATCTGATGGCCTCTGAACCCTATATACCATAAGCACATATGCAGTGGTTAAAAGGCTCCAAAAGGAGACTTGAAAGAGAGAAGAGGGGGAATGTACAGTAGACTCTCTCTCTAAACTCTCTGTGTGGGCGGCCTGTAATTTGGATGTTAGTCAGACAGTCTAAAAGATGCCTCTGAACATGACCTGAATAGAGGAACACACAGGGTCTAATTGAAATACCAACACCAGCACTACCTGGCACTTTAAACATGCAAGTGCGTGTCCAGCAACGCACACACTGCGGTCGAATGGGACGGACTTAAGACATGAGAAGTGGATGCTGTTTGTGCATGTGTTACCGTAAAGAGAGGGACCCCATCAGAGGCAGTAAGTGAGGGCTAATGACCCCCTCATTACTGTGGCTCTCTATTCATCTTCGCTGGTTCTCACAAGCCTAAGGAGAATCCAGCACAAATATATAAACTATCCTATGAAAACCAATATGAACTGCTTAGAAACATTACCAAATGAAAGAGCTGCTTGTGAGACATTGACTTTCATATATCAGGTAGAGGTTTTACAGAATTGTCAAAAGATTAAAGTGATGAGTCTTATTAGTCAAATGAAAGCCTAAAGGTGTCAAACATTGCATAAATTATATACTTTATGGTAAGTGTAATAACTTGCAACATCCATCTTCCTGTATACTCTTACATGAAACTGCCTTGTTTCACATAACGTAAAGAGTATGCTCTAAAAAAATCACTTCACGCAATCCACCTTAAGTCGGCTTGTTATAATTCTGATCCTTTTTGCGGTTTTAGAATGCACTTTAATATTTCTTTCTCTCTCTTAACCTTTAAATGTCCACAGCTGACGGTGACCCTCATTTTGTGGTGGAGTTCCCGATGAGTAAACTGACCGTTTGCTTCAACATCAACGGAGAGCCGGGACACATCCTGCGTCTGGTGTCCGACCACAAGAACTCTGGTAAGACATCCACAAATTAAACCATTGTTTCACATTAAAAATATAATTATGTTTGCATTCGGTGCGGACTGCCCATAGGCGCATTCACACCGCAGTACTTTTCCCACAAAGGTTCATGAGAACTTAGTTCACGAGAACTCTTTAGTTCTCATGAACTAAGTACAGATCGCGTTCATACCGGAATAAGTCCCTGAGGGAAGATTAGGCAAATGAAGCCGCTGACGTCATTTCTTCTTCTTCTGCTTTGGGTTTACTGGCAGGCCGCAAACAACTTCACGGCGTATACTGCCACCCAAGGTCCCCGGCCGGAAGTCCCCGGAGTTGGGGACTGGCTTCAGTAGAAGCTGCTGGGACTCCCAGCAGCTTCTACTGAAGCCTTCCGAGTAAATCGCCAGAACGCCGACACCTCCTCATCTCCACCGCTCCCATGTTTTCTTTTGTGTTGCCATAAGTTAGTCTCTCTGCATTTGTGCGCTGGGCTAATGCTAATGCTAATAATGCTAATGCGAGGATAATAAAATGGCGGCTTCACAAAACTTTTTGGGAGTTTTACGGGGCGTGGTTTGCATTCCGCCCAGCCAATCAGACAGAGCCTTTTTCTCCCACGAAAGTACCTGCTCTCTAGTAGGGACGGAAAAGGGGGTAATAAAGGTTCTGATTAACTCATCTTAGTTCCGGCTCTTTTTGGTGTGAACGCGACATTTCGGGACTATATCGGAACTAAAGCGGGAAAAGTACTGCGGTGTGAACGCGGCTAATGTGGAGGAAGTACTGAGGAACTAAATGTTAAACACAAAAATGAAAATACTTTGGTAGAGTACCTGCAGTACTTAAGTAAATGTATTTTGTTACATTCCACCACTGGTTGGGTGTTCATTTCTGTTATTTGTCTACAGGTGTGACAGTGAACGGTAAGCTAATCGGTGCCCCAGCTCCACCCGGCAGCCACAAGAAGCAGCGCACGTATTTCAGCACCATCACCATCGTGGTGGATCTTCCGAAACGCGCCTACATCGAGGTGACCCCTAAGAAGGTCATCCTGGACGGGCGGGACCGGATGGTGCTGCCCTGCCACTCCACAGTGTCGGTGGACAGCGGCGTTCTGTCAGTGTCCATCGTGGGAAAGTCTAACGTGACGGTGACGGTCGGAGGAAACGTCATGTTCGTGATTCTGCTGCATCAGTACAAGAATCCAGCCTCCTACCAGAGGGACCATCTAGGGTTTTACATCGGAAACAGCAAGGGGCTGTCACATCAGTGCCACGGCCTCCTGGGTAGGAGACAATGAGCTTTAATTATTGTTTTGACTGAGCGTTTGGTAGGACAGATATGATCCATCATTTATTTTCATTTAACAATAAAAACATAAAAGAGTAGAGCCCTAATTTCAGCTCATAAAAGCAAACTTGTAGGGTATATCAGACAATAGTATAGCGTCAGTAAAGTGCCACAGGATCCAGTAATATAAATATGATTACGAAAAAGGTTATGAGTTCTGTTGAGTAGTGTTCAATTGGGGTGGACTTATTAGTTTCTGCTGAAAGAAATATTTATTTTGTAGGTAAAGCCAAGACATGGTAGGTAGACCACTATAAGCGTACATTTGACAGATGACGATTCATCCACTGAAACCATGGTGTTTTTCTTGAATCCACCTTTATTGCCAGTGATGGATTTCAGTTAAAAATGCTGAATTGAATGTCAAATTGCAGAACTGTATTTTCCTACAAGCAAATTGACACCAAATCCAGAGGTAACTGGCTGGCCTTCAAAGACTCACATCAGTCAAACTCTGAGACTTGAACCTTTGATTCATTTCTTCTTTCAGGTCAGTTCCTGTATGAGGAAGTGGGCCTGGCAGAGCTTCCTGCGGAGGCAGACAGTGAACCGTCGCCCGTCCTGAAGGTGAAGGAGCGCTCTGTGCCGGTGGTGAAGAAAAACCGGAGGATCTTCAGTGGCACTCAGAACGTGGACTGCTGGTTTGCTCGCAACAATGCAGCCAAGCTGATAGACGGACAGTACGAGGACTATTTGATGTCACACATGTTCGACACGGGGGACTGGCCACACGGGACCAACACAGCATAAACTGTAGCATACATATTTTTACTCTGTATCCATATCACATCTCAGCAAATATTTACAAACTTCACATTTCAGTTTTCTGTCTCACTTTTGAATATATTTTTGTACTATTTCTAATGAAAATGTAATGTTTTATATTGTATTATGTGTATTATTTTTTGTGTAATATTGTTATTGTAAATAAAAAACAACTAAACCCACATGCAATGATTTTACTTTGGTGTAAAATGGTGCCCACATTAACACATTAAGGGGAATTAAATTGTAAAAAAGGAGTAAATATAGAGTAAAAACAATTAATGATATCAAAAAATAAATGGAAAAGCTTAAAAGAAATCTAAATACAAGACTTCTTTTAAGTGTGCATTATACCAGAATTTAAAGCTGAAAAGCTGTGCAATTAAAAAAACAAAAAAACATGTATTTTGCACCCATCTGGGAATGCATGTTTTTCTCACACCCCAAATATGTATGTCGGCATTCCCTAAACGTGGCGACATCGAGTTAAGGATCACACCTGGTTACCACGGGGACTGGTAACAACCCCCTTGTCCCAGCGCCAATGACTAGATGCACGGCTAACACACATAACACACAAACACACAAACACACAAACACACACAGCTCCATGGAGCTCCCTGTCATCAGCTGCAGGTCACAGGGCCGATGGCCCCGCCCACACAGGTGTGCTGTGGCCAGGTACATGCTCAGGATGTCTGTCATCACGCTGCTGCCCCCCGACCCCCCCTCTGTTGCACCCGCAGGAATTCAACACCAAACACCAGCTCATGTGTCAATCATCTTTATTCACAGAGCAGATTAAAGAGACTCATTCGGCACTTTCTGTTATTGGCAGGGCGTGCCTTTTCATACACATGTTCATCATTTGGTTTATTACAAAACATACACAAGGTACAATGGAATACAAAATAAAACATTCAGCCAAAGTATGTCATACCTTTTGGCTTTTAAGACGTAAATGTGTTCAGGAGAATTATTTTTCCACCTTTTAAAATACTACCATTTCCGATATTCACAAAAAAACGTCCAATGTTGTTACCACATGTCGAACCACAATTTACTGTAAAATACATACAAAATATAAACAGAATAAATATAATAAATGTGCAATAATTTGCAAAAGTTGAATACACAGCTACAGTATGATCCCACATTACAAGTATTAGGGCAATTCTTAATGCAGAAGAAATCTGAGATTTTAAGAATAAAGTCTGAATACTTTGAAATGAGTTGGAAATGTTATAGGTTTGATTTAAAAAAAAAAATCGAACACATACATTTAAAAAAAAAGGATGTTTTAAAAGAAATATGCTTATTTGCATTCTTGCCAAAGACTGTTACCATCTATATGGCATATCTGATAGTTAGAAATGTGGTGACAGTCAGAAGTTTGTTAGCTTAGCATAAAGATTGTAAACCGTGGAAAACCGCTAGCCTGCTTGTTTACAAACGTAGCAAGTTCAGAAAGCCAAGATATAGTCCCCTATGTACCTCTTTGTGAAATCACCAAGTGTACAGATAAAAAAAAATAGATGTAGTGAGAGTTTGTGAGCTGAATATGCATTTAGTTATCTTTGGACAGAGCCAGACTAGCTGTTTCCACCTGATTCCAGTTCGTATGTTAAACTAAACTAATCAGCTGTAGCTTTGTATGTTGCTTACAGACATGAGAGTAATAATCATCATCTCAAGCACACATTCAGGGCACTGACGCTGAAATATTACATTATTCTAGAAAGATCCAGAATGATTTTCCCCTAAAGAATCATGACATTTGTCTCGTGCAGTTATGACTTTATAATCCCAATGTTTCCTTGTCAAATTGGGATTATTTTATTTAAAACATTTCTATTTTTTGGCAAAATGTTCCTACATTATTAAAAAAAAATAGGGTGTTTCTTCCCAGATATGAACATAAATGCAGCACATAGTGTGACCTGGTCCTTTAAAACTTTTAAATATGATTACATTTCCTTCCACATATATAAAAAATGTTTAAAAGCAACCTGTCGGATAAGGCTACGTTTTTCCATAAAACCACTGCTTTCAACATGTTTGGTCCGTCATGATTGCAGCACCCAAACAAAAATCCACATAGGCTTCATAGGTTTTATCGTTAAAACCATTAACCTCTTTTTTTAAACCAAAAGTAAACAGACAGCCAGAGGGAGAGCGCGCCGGAATGACTATAATTACACCTTAATTAAAAGGTGGATTAAAGTGATTATATTTGACAGAGTGAAATGTTATATATGAATACTTTGCTCACCTGCTCCTCTTTGGAATATGATACACGATAAATTATTCTCTTTAGGGCAACATCAATCCCAAAAGTCCCCAGCGTGGAGATAGATTTATTTCAGTCTTTGTCATTACCCCCCACACATTTATCCCCGCGGCGCTGCCCTCCTTAATAATCTCTCTCTACACACGCTCAGTTGTGGTTACTCAGATGTTCTCTTGCAGCAAACAGAGGCAGCAAGGTGTGAGGATGAAGAGCTTCCAAAAAATGCTATAAGATGTACATGCATACACTGAGTAAAGCTCAGAGCAGAGGAAGGCAGCTGAGGCTTCACATTCACAGGTTATACGACCTTTAATTGTGCCTTCTCTTACATGGAAGCTGATATTTAGAGCTTTGAGGAGTTAAGGAAGCCAGGTTTGTTTTGGGTTTGCTCATATTTAGGCTCTTAAGAGTGTGTTGTGTGTGGATAGCATCACCTGGGGTTACACCACCACCCAGCTGGGCCTAAGCGGTCCTCCAGAATACTGCACGTGAGGAAGTGGTCCGCTATCGTCTTCCTCCCCCTCCGAAGCCTCGTCTGTGTCCGTCTCCACGCTCAGCAGCACCTGAGGGAGGAAAGAAGATGTGTTCAGATCTCTTACTTCCATTACTTTGTAAACTGCTGCTGGATTCATAGTGGATTGATTCGTTGATTTGTATTGCGTACTAGCCAATAATCTGAATCTGTAAAGTAACTAAAGCTGTCAGATAGGTGCAGTGAAGTAAAAAGTACAATATCAGCATCTAAAAGGTAGTGGAGTAGAGGTATAAAGTAGCTAGGATTAAAAATACTCAGTACATCAAAAAGGTACTTCGTGAATGAAAGGGTCTTGTAAGTTAAATACTGTCAGTAATGCTGGGAGTTTAGAACCTGCCTATAACTTATAAAAAAGTTAAAATGTTCTACAGAGGGGATGGTATCTGCTTTTTGACATTTATCTATTGAAATAAGCGTCCACATTTCACAAAATGTGGACTAGACCACAGACAGGCATTGGATACAATACAGCAAAGGTTTCATCAATACCTTTGTCCATCTTTGTATCAGTTAAACAGAGGAAAATATATTGGATTTATTTGCAGCCTAGAAGAAGCTCTGCTGCAGCAGCAGGGATTCAAATCCCAAAGGATAGAAATTCCACAACTATATAACGTTTACGGCATCATAAACCTCCATATGTCGTTTTATGTCCGGGTTTGACATGTGGGAAAGATCATATAAAGACGGAGTTGCAGAGCAGTACCAATTCAGATAATCGGATAAAGAGAAAATGTGCAAAAATGTCTCATACAGACTTACAGAGCATAGGGATGCAATAATTCAGATCTTCACAATTGGTACATTTTTTTTTTCTTTCTCAATGTCATTCTCAATGTTATAAAAAACACATTTTATGCAGTTTTCTTATTTTTAAATTATTTTCTTTTTTATATATTTTTTTTTAAATATAATTTATACAATTAATTGTTTTATTTAGAAAAGGTTTGGCACATTAATCAACAATAAAATAATCATTAGTCGAAGCCCTAAAGCAACACAATATGATGCCATCATGCACTTATTTAAGTCACTTTATGATTGCTAATATGTCTTGTATTTGAAATGAATCAATGCAGGGGGGATAAGTGTGTGTAGCGATTGACTTTCTTCTTTGCAACAAGCTGCACACCCAGCAACAACAACAGCATTGTGACTTTATCTACGCCCACCATCCCCACTGAGACCTCTTCTGAGAGAAAGCCCCTCTGTGTCCTCCTCTTCTACTTCACCCCGCTTTCCATAGCATCAGCGCATGGAAACAAGTCCTAAAGGTCACCTTTATTCCCGGGATGAAGGCTGGATTTATAGCTGACTGGCAGAGGATAAGGGAGAAGGAAAGAGAAGGGGGGGGGGGTAAACACTCGCCCTCTTAACACGAGGGTCATGCTCCCAAACTGTCATTTGTCCTGACGTCTGTCAGTTACATCTGAGGAGCGAGATAAATGGCTTCTGTGTGGAGGAGGGGGCTGCTGAAGTGAGTCCCTGAACACAACACCAGGCCTGTCACTGTTTCACAGCTAAACCAGCACTCAAACCAAAACAGGAGCAGATTAAAAAGTCTGAACAGGTGCGATGCAACAGTAATATTCCAGTTAGATTACAGCGGTTTCCAGGTACTTTTGTAGAATTTCATCATTCTCTATCTCTTTCCCTTTGTTTGTATTGGCTGTAATCTATACAAACCAATAAAAAAGGCAAAAATATTCCTTTGATTTACTTAAGCAGTGGTGCAGGAATGAGTCCTAAAACCCGGGAATGGATTAGCGTTTTAGCTTCCTCATCTCAAGTGAATGTGTTTTTTTTCCCTTTCTTTTTGTAATGGGTGAACAGTATACATGTTTTTATTCTTACAAGGGAATGTAACCTCGAAAGTGAACATGTGTGTGTGCGTGAGGGTGTGTATTTGTGTGTTTTATTCGTACCCGTGACTCCTCGCTGTTGGCCCAGGGCAGCATGTCACCCTTCTTCACGTCACAGGAGTCGTCCAGGCTCTTCATCGTTTTGTACTTCCTCATCATCAGGCTGTCCACCACCCAGAACATGATGGACTGAAGGGGGGGGGGGGGGGGTGTAATGTAACGTGATGTAATTATTACAAATATTGACATATAATACAAGGCAATGTGGCAACTAGATAATGAAATTGAATACTCACGTTAACTATGAATGGCACAATGAGCATGACCAGCACCAGCTCCAGCTGAGGGCTAGCAATGTAGCCTAGCAACACCTCCTGCAGCTGGAGGAGAAGAGAGGAGAGATTAACACTGTGACATCAGGTGATTCAAAGGTGCTGAGGGAGGAGAAGCTCTTGTGACGATTAACTAACTTTTGGTTTCAATA